GGTACACGCTATATCTTTAAGGAGGTTGAGTGTTGAATTTCCTTCATCTCCTCCGTAAAAGAACCTCTGTCGTAATGCTAATAATACTGGTAGTAGGATGATTATCGTTTTACTATCTGAGATAGACGTAGTTTGGCAGACCAGCATTTATATCCGGTGGTCGCTGGTTCGAATCCGGACACGGTCCAGATTTTCATCTCACCTTCAATCATCACCCAGTATAGATAGGATGATTATCAAAATTATAACAGATTTTTCACACAGAAGCAAACAGATGAATGCTATATCATGTAAGACATAGAGGGCAGGTAATAAAAACAAGAAAGGGGATCAATAAGAAAACGTGAAATAGGAGATACAATAGTACAGAAAAACACACAGGTACCAAGGTGATCATTGTATCTTTCTGAATACAAAAGTCAAGTTTAAAGTATGCTATTTCTATTGATTCTACAAAGTGTAAATTGAAGATTTTTTGTTCATTTATTATTTCCAAAGTCGAAGATGTACCCCCACTGTGTCTTGAATGAAATAGGTGGCGTGTGATTGGACTTGTGAGCGATTCTGAACTTTCAGTCTCACGCTCTTTGGAACATGTTCAGTAACAAAGCTCGTCAGCTGGATGTACCTGTCTCCCAGTGAGTGATGTTGTCCCCATCGGGATTCGAACTGGGGGCCGTTTGCTTCAAACACCAGGGCGTCATCCACTAGACCATCAGGCCACTGAGTCGAGACACCACTCACTGAGAGGTAGGTACATCCAGATAACGAGTCCTAAATAGGACGAAATGCACATCCTGGAATCCACTGCTAGCTACTATCCATCATTACTATAATTAGAACACAGGTAGTATCGAGGCATCCGAATAGGAGCCCATATGTCAATAGAGACCGATCAATTCAGTCCAATCAACGATATTATGCAAGCAATGATACTAAAAGCTAATATCGTTTAAATATTGTCCACTCCATATATTTTTTTGATAGATGCTTCTCTCCATTGTACGATCATCGCGACTTTGAATCCATAAGTCAAGAAAGCTTAGGCGATTTCCATGCTTTAAACTTCAATGTAAAGCTAATATTTTGGTGTTCATTGTTCAATATCTAAAGTAGTTTCGAGGCATGGTTATTGTTTTTGTAGATCACAAATTTACTGCCTGCATACCTCGTGTGAAATATGCCGGTTCCATTGTAGTCTCTTTTAAATTTGACGTGAATATATCAGTAGATAAATAGTCAGCTCGACCTCACATCAAGCTGTTGGTACAATTAGTTATGCACAAAGTTAGAAGTTACTGGAGGTCTTCTTCAGGTAAAGGAATCAGTAAGAATATCTTCAATTGTTCTCAATAGTTTCTTCGACTTAAATGTTGATGAGTAGAGAGCAAATGCAGAAAGATAAGATGACATTATCTGAAATGTTCAAGTTTTTCAGTTCTTCGGTGAATTGAAAAGTGCTTTCACATCATGCACCAGTAGACTGTTGTTGATACTGTAGGCGTCGTTGCTAACCATTGAGCCAATTTGTGACAGGTAAAGTTCACCTTTGATAATATGGGTCTCAGCCAGTTTTTGGAAGGTTGTGAATAAAAGGTAGACGCGAAACTGCAGGTTTGAGAACATTGTAAGTATAAGTATAGTTTCCTTTGAAGTAAGTTTTTCATACGGGTTATGACTCTTTTCTAATGCCAATGTTTTATTGTCTTGTACAAATCTGAACACATCACTGAATACCATAAACACCTTACTCAAACAACCCTTCCTGCTCATAAGAACCATCCCAGAACATTCATCCAGTCTGTTTATGACTAGAAAATCTCTCTTTTGAAGACATTGCAGGGCATTTCTAATTTTATCGCAAAGTAGTGTGATTTCATTGTTGACGAAACCAACTACTGACTGATTGATTAATTAGCTTAGTACTTACCATCACTTTTAGTGTTTATGTCTTACCACATGGAAATCTGAAGTGGAACACTCTGAATGACGTGATCAATAAAGACTCTTCTTGACATTCTGAGACACTATTTGTTTCTAGGACATGTTTATGACGCCTATAGGGCAAGCAACTAAATAAATTGATAGTTATAACCAGTCATGATATTATCGCGAAAGGAATTAAAGTTTGTTTAATACCTGTATACATTGAAAAATCAAAAGCCAAAATTATAGACCTGCCATAAACCATGAGTTTGATAATTATAACTGCTGACTACTATGAACATCAGTTAGATATGTGCAAAAAAGCACTGAGGAACTCTTGAACATGGTATTATTACTTAGGCTAGGCGTCGTGTCCTACGACAAGAAAGTCAGTTAATGAACTGAAACTGATTCGTTTCCTGTTAGCATCAGTGTAATGAAAAGTGTAAAGAGCTTCCTTGCAATATGAAATAGTTAGCTAATCAAAACAGTTCAATTTTCTAGTTAAACAAACATAAAACTCACCGAAGATTAAAAAAAAGCTACCACAGTATAATTTATTCAAAGATGTGAAGTTAATCAATGAAGCAACCTGATCTCTATTAGAATTTAAATCACATCTATACAGTTGAAGGTTTACCGATGGTTATTCAAACATACTTTTGTAAGTTCGATTCACTTCAATCATACACAGAGTTGCTCGTATGTCAATTCCTAGTAGATCCTAGGAGATCTACATTTGTATATCGAAACTTTGGGTCAGAGAACACTTCGATCTGAATGGTCATATGTTCTCTACCTAGTATGCTTAAGATATTTAAAGTTAATTTCACGAGACCATAGCCAAAACAAAGGTGAGTGAAGTAAGTGTACTTTCGTTTTGTATTTCTCCTCATCTAAAACACTTCATTTACTCCTACGCGTTCTTTTCTTCTTTTTTGCTTAATCTGATGTTCTTCAACAGAAATTTCAATATTTGATTGTCTGAAATTGCATGACTTCATTGCTTTCGTTTATTTCTTTTTAAAGAATACATTTTCATTGGATAGCGTTAACTAGGAAAGTAAGTGTATTCGTAATGGAGTTGTAGTTCATTAATTTGTTGAGCTATGGTTCATTGGTTGAGGGAGTTGACTTTAAACCAGTGAGTCACCAGGATTTGGGTAGCCACATAGTAGCATTAGCCCTCACACAATTAGTGTGCTTCATTGCCTACTGCACAAACTTCCACAAGGTTGTTGAGTACATTTGAATTAAGACCTTTTGGGTTCAATAATTTCGATAACTGACTTTCAGTCATGTGAACCACAAGTTTAGACTCTGCTCAACCTATCAAACTTTTTGAAATAAATAAGTAGTATTAGTGATGGCGTAACAATAGATATGAGTCCTAACTTAACATACTAATCTCTACATTTTCATTGATTTGCAATTGTAATGTTGTTTAGTAATTTGTCGAATGACCGGGGTGTTTAACCCACATGTTGTTGATTGACAATTATAAACTCAAATAAAATCAGTTGAATTCATTGTTAACGTAAGGTTACAAATGGAAGTTGTTCATGCTTTCTTCTTTCGTTGAAGGATCTCAGGAATATTACCGAATCATAATCGTAAAAGAGCAACATTCCTGGAGTATGAAATGCACAAGTAATTTCTTGGTGCCACTAAGTACGTGTCCCAACCATCTCAGTCGATGAAGGTTCATAACCTCGTCAATTGATTTAGGGAGTAGAGGCCAATCAGTTGACGTTATGAACCTTCATCGACTGAGATGGTTGAGACACACACTACGTATGCCTAGTCACCGATTGCCTCGTCACACAGCGTTGGCCGAAGTAGGTCCAGGCTCGTAGAAGGCCCGAGGTGACCAGACTGAAACATGGCACCAATGCATGAAGTCTCTGACTGTTGGTTTGAGCTATGTGGGGCGATGCAGACTAGGTGGTTGTGGTCCGCGGGACAAGAGGACTCAGTGGCTGGAGACTCTAGGGGATATGACTCAGAACCAAAGTCAGTGGCGCAGATGTACATACATATTTACTCATCTTAACAATATACCGATTCTCACCATTTCGTCATTTTTCCCTTCTTTCTTCTAGTAATTTATATTTGTTTTGACTGCATTCTTTTATCTTCATCCTTTACCTCACTACCTTTCTACTTGATGTAGTGATATGAGGTGTGGCAAGTTGGACCGTTACGCAGTAGTGCCTGGTCCCGTGTTGATATTGATGATGACGATGGTACCACTGACCTGTTCAACATATCTAATGGAAACAAATAAAATGCTGAAACTGTTTACATTCAGACTATTATTTGTTCATCGAATTCATTTCTCGAATCCAAAGAACCAAAGGGGAAACGTTTCGCACGATTCAAAGAATTTGATCTGTTCTGTTGTATTGTAGTCAGCTACATATGAGGTGCTCAGAATTCGTTTATTGAAAATGAATAAGCGTTAATCTAGATTCATTGGTTGAATAAAGGTCCATGAAAACTTTTATTGCAGCAGAATTAGAACCTGGGACCCGTGAGTTTCAGGTCTGTAAGTCTACAGAATGTACTTCGTCTTACTTAGATCACTAAGAATTAAATCTCCTATCTCAGTTCACCGAACGCCAAGATGATCTTATGGCTCAGATCCTGCTACAGCACAGGTTTTATTTCAACTTTAATTGTCAGCTGCTAACATTGAATACAGTTCGCTAGAATACGGCTGTCTATAGCAGTATAATCTACAAAGTTATTGCACTTTGCAATTAGAAAGTCTACAAGCAAATATTAACCACCTTGGATATGTCGAACATTTTGGAAACAATGAAATTGATAATACTCTTCGATCATTTCAAGTTTTCAGTTACTGAGACTAACTGGAATCCTATATCTGTCTCTGTAATCTGCCTATTTCGGCAAATACATGCAATTCCAAAGATGTAAATATAAATGTGTAAACAGAGAAAAGTACACGTGAATTAAACAAATCAAGTGTAAATAGTGTATTCTTTTTCTTTGAAGTTTATTGAACAAATTCAACACTATAAATCCACTAAACTTGGGCAGTTTCTTGTTCAATGGTTTCAATATTTAGATATATTACAGGTTTAACTTTGATTATCACAACTTTTTCAGTAGTAAATAGTGGTAAGTTTGAATATCCATATTTATTTGGTTTACTTTATAATGTAATTGTAAAAGTTGATCTCTACGTCTCTGAAGTTTATGTATGATTTAAACTTTGTAGGGAGTAAGCTAATGTCTATTTCGTTTTAATTATCCAAATTCTATATCTCACTGAAGGTGTTTGTATAACTGAGTTTCAAGTGGTCGAACTCAGTATATCTACTAAATCAAATCAGTAAAAATTCAGCTGTAATTTGGTTGATGGTGATTATTGTTTGGTGATTGATCAACTTCCTTTATCCATTGCTACAGTAAGACAATTATATTCCCTGAGATTTCCGATAACTTTTCTAGGAAGTTCAGGATCCTTGATGGATTTAGATATACCTAACTGTCGTGTGTCTGATATGTATAAAGCCTCCAGATATCTGTTAAGTGAATTTTACTCAACCTGTATATCATTCCATCCTTCAAACGTCAGCGATGTATCTTGGAAAAAAGTCCAACTTTGTTCCGCTTATTCGATAGAGCGAAAAGAGGTAGAAAACTGTTTGCTGAGTGACATTTCATGAAGAGCTTACCATTCATAATCAACTCAGGGAAATAACATCTCTTTAAATACTTGTTATTTAGAGTTCTGTTACTTCTCATGCTGTGGCTTAAGTATTAGTGGAATTTTCTAAACCTCTGAAGTAAGTGTTGATACACTGTAACAATTATCAGGCGTCTGTTTATTCAGCGAATAAAAATTTCATTATCAGACTCTCTTCCTAAATATATTGGCATTTAAGGTTGTTACTCCATACCAATAAACCTAATAAGTCAACAGACTCAGAAAGATGTTAGCGAACAAATTTATTTTCACTGTAGACATCGTTCTGCTAGCCTGTACAATCATATTCTAATAAAATTAGCGTTCTCATTTACTGGTAACTTGTGAAGCTGTCGCTCACTGGTTTAGACAGTTAACTTTCAACCAGTGGGTTGCGATCTCGAACACTACTCCAGTCATCGAGATTTGGGTAGCCAGTTAGTATCAGTGTAGCTTTCTCACAATCGGTATGGAATTGCTGAGAACAATTCAACTCGATTTCAGTATATTGGTTACTGATATTTTTATGAATAAATTTGCATACTAATCATATTTAAATGATATGGTATAAATTCTGTGAATGTGATATCGTTGAAGATGAATTTATTCACTAAATCTTTTTTTTTTTTGCCTCAAGATACTGTGTACCCGTTTGCCAGTGCATGCATAACAATAGCTACATTTTTCCTGAACATTTTAATGCTATTGAAGTCTACGTTGAAGTCGAAGGCAAATCACCCGATGTCAATTGAAGTTCGCTTGATAAAATGTCTAAGCAACAAGACCAGAAAGCTTACTAGTAAAAAAAAATCTGAGAAAAGAAATCAGATACATTAGGGACACCTTACTCATCAACAACTATCATTCTAAGTTAATTATTAAGTTCTCCATTAATAGTAATAACAATAATGATAGTGGGACTACTTTGAAGAGGAAATTCGAGACCTCTACAGTATTACCATACGAAGAAAGCATCACGGAGGCATTACATAGGCTTCTCAATATGGTTGGCTGTTGTTAGAGGGGCATTTATACTAAAAAACTCACTTCGAAATAAGCACTGTAGGTTTAAAGATCCTATTGATCCAATCAAGCAGAATAAATTAGTTTGCCAAATCTCTTACAATGATTTTGATGTCAAATATATAGGTTAAAGTTGTCGACTAGGGTTAGTCAGGCTATCGAGCACAAAAATTTCTAGCTAAATCAAAATTGATTTATCCTAGTAAGATAAAGAATCTAGAAAAAAGCTTGACCATAGCTGTGCATGCAATTACACACAACCACACTTAAGGATGTGACAGGGTGAAAATCTTTAAAACTAACCTAGTGGGGTATAGGGAAAGATTGATAACCGGATTTGTGTTTATTGAACCATCACCAAATACATGCAACAGGAATGACTCAGTACCTGTTTTGGATATATGAAAAATACTTCTTCCTATATCAAGAAAATAAGAACTGTATGAACCATATCTCAAGGTTGTGTAGTTATCTTGATATGACTATGGACAGTAAATTGTGTCCGAAACGTAGTCCAATGAATAATACTCTCACTGTGTGATACGTCTAATAAACCAGCTAAAATGTAAAATTACGCCAAGTAGATGAATGTTAAGAAACACAAAACGTAGGTTCAGAGTTTCCAACCGTTTGCTTTCAACTATCTAACATTTATTCAAAGTGAACCACGGTGCTGAGTTTCCTAGCCACATTAAAAATGATCGATAGCATGTGATCAGCACTGAGGAATGGATAACATGAAATTGGTTACCCTTCGGTTACCAATTATTAACTATTTTCAGTGTTTCACAGTTATTCTAGTCAAGCAACAGTATATACATTGTAGATGAAAAACTCTAGCGAAAATTGTTTACATTCAAAACGTGGCCTACATTTATCATCGTTTATTAAATCTGAATGACCTTAGCAATGATTATTGATTGTCTCGGTTGGATCTTTCTCTATTCTCCTTTCACTTTGATCCTAGTATTGATCAGCTGATCGTGTAATTCCCTTCCGTTTCGAATGTCTTTAATGACTATGAGCTAGTCTGTTAGGTAACTTACTTCGTCGTTTCCAATTTGAGGTAGAATCTAGAGATTTAGAGTATACCTGACCGATAAAGTATTTCTGAATATCTGTGCAAGTTGTATACTAGATACCTGAATGAAAAATTATTGTAGAACGACATCAGTGATAGCAGTTGAGATAGAAATAAAGTTTGATCAATTCTCAATTTGAACCACTAAGCTATCTGCAGTTATTTCAACTGATCAGTTTAAAAGAATCACTGCTAAGAATACACTTTTAGCTAAAAATGAAATTTATGTTATGTCTATGTTAGTGAACAGTTGACGAAAAGCTCTACTTGACTGAAATTTAAATCTTCCTGATACTACCTAGAAAGTATATCATCAGCCAGGTGGAAACATATTGTTATGGGAATTCAAACGTATATCATTCAGTGATAAATCCAAAGATATTGTCTAAAAACTATTCACCTTATAGCTAACCGTCTAGTCGAAAGTTGTTCCTTTCTGCTGTATATCCCCTTGCAGGTATGGTTCTACAACCTGTTCTTAATATTAATGATCGACTTCTTCTATGAAGAACTTCATAGATGTGACTGATAAGTTACTGCTTCTTTCTAGAAGTAATATCAATTGTTAGAGTGTGCTATTTCTTTAGCCCTACAAGATTCGAAGAATGATGCATAGGCTGAAAAGTATTTCAACAAGTGGTACATTAAAAAAGTAATCAGATACCATTTTTATCCACAGCAGTCAAATAGAGCGTTGTTCATGTTGTTAAGAATGGCCCCAAATTTATTAAGTATACAATAAATAGGCTTAATATATCTGTAGTACTTCGATCGACTTTAATTCATTCTTACTGAGGTTTTCAGTTAGTAACTACCAACACCCTAGAAATACCAGTAAGGAGGTTAGAACCTTTTTACATCACTTAATTCCGCAATTATTGACCTCATGAGATAATTCAAATACCCTTGACTTCCGTCCAACTTTATCCTGTTCTCGTTAATGTGGTTTGGTCAGGGTGGTATCAAGTAGGTATATACAATCTGTATTCCAATAATTATAGCTAATTTGAATTTACGAAGTCCTACTTTCTTCACCTACTGCATCACTGTCTTGATTATCTCATCATATTTTGAAGTGGTTTTGTGAATTCTTATGGCAAAATATGGGTATCTTTTTTATGGAATGTAACTTATTTCAGCCCTACAGGGGGTCAGTGACGGTCCGGTGATGTCATTGACTGTGGCATTGGGTGATGTGGGTTCGAGTGTCAGGCGGAACATCAATACTCTCGTAGTTGTAGATGCAGTTTGCTGACGAGAGTCAAGAAGCACAAAACCTAGGTTCTAGGCTCCCTGCCAATAGCCTTCAGTCATCCGACGTCTGTCAAAACACACTACTATGCTGAACCACCTAGCTGGGTAGCCACATTACAAAATGATACATCGAATTTAGTCAGCACTGAAGTCTAGACAGCATGAAAATGATCAGTCTGTAGCTATCAATCAGTGAAGTTAAAGTTTGTAAAGTATATAATTCTCATGATTTTCGAAGGAGGTTAGCAGTGACTGACTGGATAAAGACCACTGGTTGGAAATCTCATCTAAGCTCAAGATCATTTTACCTTAGTTGACTCTAAGTTAAGCTTGATAAAATCACCAAAGACGCACATTAAATTAAAAATGGAGCATTTCTGAATCATGGCAAAATGTTTTATCGAATTCCATTTTTCCTATTTCTAGCTGGAATATTTGATTTTAGCGGTTCAAGTAATCAAATGTCATATATTTTATTTTTATAACACATTATTTAATGACTAACATAAAATTCTGTGATTTAAAGAGGGAGTGTATACGTTCTAAAGCTTCTAATTGAGCAAAAGAATGCCTGACACTGGTAAAATAATAAACAGATGCCTTTATGGATGAAATGGGTATTTCTCTTATACTAAGTATCAAGTATTCAGGTAGATAACAATGATTTCTGTTATTCAATATCACAACATTTTTGGTATCCATCTTTCAGCAGAGAAATCGATTAGTTTGTTTGAGTGAGTGGTCGCGATCATAAGTGTCCAAACTCGACTCTGCTCTATATACCACACGCTGAATTGATGGCATAATGAAAAGTCCGAAATTTTCCTTCAACAGTGGTGTTTAATAAAAGTATTGAACTTCTGTTGCACACCGTACAATAATAGGTAGGTGATCAAGTCAAATGTGCAGTACTCAGCTCCATAATATGATTAGATTATCTATGTAATATAAATTGCCGAGAAAAAAAAGTAAAACTTATGAGGAAAACATTCAGTGTCTTCGTTTACACTGTGATCATCAGCCAACTGATGAGAATAAACTCCAGAATAAGCACCACCAATGAGAATTGTGAACAAGATCAGAAATAGACCATTCGTCTATACATTGCTTAACAATAACGACCATTTTGAAATATATCTCACACAAAGAAAATAATACTAAGGCACATACGATTGATAGCCTCTTTTAACTTGCTGAGAAAAAGACAGTACTCAGTTTTATTGTCTACTGTTGTGATAAGCGCTCCGATCTGATGATGTTTTAGGCTAACTTACTGCTAATCTGCTGAATAATTGACTCAATTCTGTTCATTTGTGTTTAAATGTCACAACAAATGATGGTTCGAAATAATGCATTGCATCTCAATTACGTTCTTAAGGTTATCATATATTTGGAATTCAGCATCGCATAGAAAATCACTTTATCCGCCTAAACTAAAGAATATTTCCCTTTGGTTGGTAGTGGCTAGCAAAAAACCTAGGACATGCGCGTTCCGTTCTACTTGAGACTCGTCAGCTGATTGTACCTGCACCCCAGAGAGTGATGTTATTCCGACTGAGACTTGAACCTCATATCCATCACTCCAAACACCAAGGTGTTACCCACTATGCCACGGGGGGACGAAAGATACTTCTGGTACAGTGCGTAGTAGTTATTCTTCTGCCAACCGCAACCAACCAAATGATCATAATTAACATTCGGGCAATGTCGAGGCATCCGCATAGGAGCCCATATGCCAATAGAGGTTGAACAATTCGATCCAACAAAACGACGGAGAATAACAGGTATGTCAATAAATAGTCATATTTCCCTTGTTTCTTTGTATTGTCTTACTGGTCTATTCTTTGATTTTTGATTGCTTATATCTCAGTCTATATGAACAAATATATGGAGGTGGATTTCAGGAGATCTGACTATTGGACCATATTGAATGAAGCTTTGTTGACTAGAGACAGCAGGCAAGAATGTTAGAAGAGATGACGTTTGACTCTAGCTTCAGTTGTCTTCAGCTGATACTTATGCTGAAGAAAATGACATGAATTCTATGATGATACTTTTAGATCCTTTTACAAGTGTGTCGATTCCGTTGTTAAACTGAGGCTATTCAAAATAGCTTCATTAATCAGTTGCATATCGAATCGACTCTATCTTACTTAAACTAGGATCAAAAGGCCTAGCTTCTGAGCTTTTATTGACTAGACCTCAGTGACTAGATGACGTTTAGACATATAAGAATTAAATACAATAACAGTAGCTCAAATAGTGGCTTTTGAGGGCCGATTGATTTTAAGACACTCTTCATTATCATTGTAAGCTTGAGAATACTTAATAGTCTTTATGCTATGGTTAAAAACTATTGAGCAGCATGTATTTATCCATGTGCTAGTGATAAAACTCAGGTTTTTGAAACCTCAGAATACGTACATAATGACAGGAAGCCAGCGTCAGGTGCTCTTAGGTGTCCAACGGTTTTCAAAAGGATACCAATCCACTATGAAATCTTTTTTGAAGTTAGTCAGTTTTCAAGAACCAACTACTGTTTAGTACTCATTAAAGACTAATTTACAGATGGATTTTCTGAAGTTCTAGTGAGAAGCAGTGACTTGTGGGGTCAACTTACTGAGGTGTTAGGACAAGTATTCACCAATGAATTCGCATAGTAGTTACGATATGTTGTGAATTTGGCAGAATTAGGAAGATGTAAGGCATCGGAATCTAGCTTAATGATTGGACAGCATACTGTTAGATTGGAAGTTCCCGGGCTAAACCCGTCGTAAGATCATGAATATACACTGCTGAGGAGTCCGGAACTGAGCCGAACAGCTATCCAGTACTCCTAGGTCTCTTAAGCTTCTCAGAGTTGTTTTTCAGTTTTTGATTTAAAAGATGCTTTGAAAACAGCTTTAGTTTGAAAAAGTATCAGTCTCATAATCTAGTCAACGAAACATTGAGTTAATATGGGAAGAGCTTCCATTTCGAATCCTTTCTTGTTTCTGATATCGTTAGCCATTTCCAGAAACTCTTTGCCAAATAAAGCTTAAACTCATTTTAATATGGTATATATATATATATATATATATATATATATATATATATATATATATATATATAATATTATACATGAAGATTTTAAAAGAAGTAAGTCCAAGAAATGTTACACGTAATTTTTTTATTTTTAAACATACTATAATGTCTAGTAGATTCAATGTTCAGTGATCGAAGCATGAGATAGATTATTCAAATGATTTGTTTAAATATAATAAAAATTATTCATTCAGAAACTTATCACGTATAACCATCAACTCTATTTAGCGTGAATCGCACAGTCGGATTTATATTCGAGAAAATTATTCATGTATAAAGGAATTTTCATAAAAACCCTCAAAACATAATCATTCAGATGTTCTTAATATAACTTGGAATTATACGTAATATAGTTTAGCTATAATGAACAAATGTTATTTTGCTTGTAAATGTATTCGGTATACAATGATAGAGTCCAAATATGAACAGATGTACAGGAATTAGTCATCACTGGGTAACTAATTTGTATGCACGATTCAGTCCTATAGAGGGTGAATCCTAATATGAATACCTTTATGATTAAGTATCTGACTTCAGCATTGAGCGACGCGTGTATGAGTCACCGAGAGGACAGCACCTATCACATGATTATGGACACATCTTACTGATCAGAGCCAAATAGCCAGAAACCTAGATCACAGGGTTTCTACGAATAACTTCCACTATGGTTTCATCAGCTTGATTTCGCACAAAATAAAAGACCATTGCTCAAAAAACAAAAATATACCAGGAGTTCAATTTGAAGGTGTGTAGTAATTTATTTATTAGTTTCCAAACGATGAAGTCCCCGACTGTTGATCTGAGTCGTGTGGGAAGATGTATACTAAATAGTTAGGATCCTTGAGACAAAAGAAATCAGTGATTGAAGACTCCTGGTGACATGGCTGAAAATCGGTCACAGTGGCACAAGTGTATTCACTCCTCGACATCTCCTAGAGCTTGAATGTTCACGCTAACCTTAATCATCACTCTTTACTTATCCTTCTGTTCTTTGTGTTCAACTGTGATGTGTGGCAACTTGAACCGATGCACTTGCATGTGACTTTCTACGTTGATTTTATCAGTCAGTCAGCATGGGAGTCCTAGGCACTTCGTACCCAATAGCTTGGCAGTAACATGCTTGTCACGGGACCTGTAGGCCCTGGGTTCAACCGCTAGTGGCTTAATGGGTGCTCACTACTGAGGAGTCCCAAAGTGGAATGAAACAGCCACCCAGTGCTCTTAGGTTTCCAAAAGTTCTTGAACTGACGTCAGTCCACGACTAGTGTTAACCTGAAACCAATATCAGAGGTTATTTATAAATCCCATGAACTGGTTATGCAAATACAGCTGATTAGTCAACCTATCTGGCTTTATACCATTATATGCCTGCTAAGAACTCCATAATACTGTATTGACTGAAGTGGAGCAGTATTTCATATGCTGCTAACAGCGACTTCTTGCAAAAACTTAGTTCCTTTTAACCCATAAATGACGAATCTGTCGACTGACCATTTCCAGGCATTAACTTCAAGTATGGTAGCGTTTTACAGTTCTAAAACCTTTCCGATTCCAATACTGGAGACGAGTTACGTTGGTAATTATTTCGAAAATGGCAAACAATATTAATTTTCTATGAGAAAAAGTAAATGAATTATTATATTTCAGATAAAAAAATATCGTTTCTAAAGATGTTGAATGACTGGGTTCGCTGTGGTCATCTACCTACACAAAATGCCAACACATCTTTTACGCATAAATCATCTAACAAATGCTCTCGCGTTTTAAGTAACTCATGTTTTGTACTGATCTTAGCATTCAGATGGTATAACAGGCTGTTAAAAGATGAATGTCTCATAGCCTGAAGCACAATCACTTCAATAGACTACATCAGATAAAAAATGAAGGTCAAAGGAATTCAGGAAACAAAAGGTAGTAGACATTAAACTCTGTGGTGCAACTTTCAGTGATGACGGTAGACTTAAGTAAAAGTTGGTTACTGTTCCATCAGATAAACATTGCAGTTATGATACCATGTGTGTATTTAATGCTTGTAGAATGGTGTGGTTCATTTGATGCAGGCAATTTATTGAATTACGGAGTCTGGAACATGCTTCACCAACCAAAATTTCAGCAGTCAGGTAGTGTCAGTGTATCTCACAGCTAGGTAAATTGGTCTTCCATCTAGCCACCGATTCGCTAACACATCATTCTTGTACAATTCAGGTGATACATTCAGAACAGCGGAACAAAAGTTTGGATCCAACGACGGAAGTAAAAACGTATCGAAATAAATAAAAATCATAGCTTGAGTGGAAGACGGAGAGCAGGATGAACGGGAATAATATGCCTTAGATAAACTGGAGGATCCACTACTCTAGCTTAAAAGTCTGCTATTTCCCACCAAGCTCAAAGCAGCATTTAAGAACCCTAAAGATTACATGTATATTCTTGCATCAGCTTTTCAAGAATACCATTATCATTATTACTATTATTTGTCTCCTGGGTTCCTAGTGGAACATAGGGCCTCAGTAGCACTTCTCCATTCCACCCTGTTCTCTGAAATATCTTCAACATGGCTACACGACAGCCAACATGCTCTAACTTCCCCCTCGCACGATCTCCTCCATGTCACCCTCAACTCGCACACACAACTCATCGCTTCCCATCTGCGTCCCACTCGAGCGACTGACCCGGCACGTGATGTCCCCAGTCAGCCTTCTCACTGTATGCCCAATCCATCTCCACTCTCAATCCCCTCTGCATATTTGTTCAGCGATAGATTCTTGCTTCGTTGGTCCGTCACCAGCCAGAGTCCCTTGTTGCTTATTCTTATTGTTCTGGCCATCTCATCTCATCTGACCTGATCTGATCTGATCTGATCTGATCTGGTCTGATCTGATCTGATCTGCAGTAACGAGCCAGCGTAGGCAGTTGTTGATGAATGTGTGTAGTTTGTTGGGAACGCCTTTCGTAACACGCCAAGTCTCTCAATCATCACATAGAAGCACTGACTTGACTGTCGTTGGTGTTGAGAATCCGGATGTTGTTCACGCTTTATGCTGAGTGGAGTGCAGTAGATCTCCACACTGGTTTCAGGTTAATGAAGGAAGGCCTTTCTTGCTGTCTTTCCGATCCTGTCTGGCTTTGACGTCGTCGTCTGTGCCTGTGACGCCTGTAGTTGAAACAGTGCTACCTAGATAGGTGAAGGAGGCTACTTCCTTCAAGTTTCTTCCGTCATTGGTGATTGCAGCTTGTTGTTAGTGGGATATATTCATCACCCCTCTCTTCTCTACCTTCACTTGAAGTCACATCTTCCTTGCTCTGCCTCTTCCGTCAACTTGTTAGTTTTCGCCTGTACATCTTCAACTTTGTATGACATCAGACATAAGTCAGCATCTGCGAAATCCAAATCTTCTAGGTTCTTCTCCCCGGTCCAGACATTGCATCACCCTCTTCTCACAGCTCCTCACTGTTTGTTGCATCATCCAATCGACTACAATCAGGAAATCATGGGTGATGGTAGACAGCCTTGTTTCACTCCTGTCTTCACTTCAAAAGCATCACTGAGCTCCCCATTGTGAATCACTTGACATGTGGTGTCTTCATAAAGTTGTTGAATGTGATTGATAAAGGTTTGCGGTATTGTATAGTGTTGGAGTAGTTGTCAAATTACTTCTCTGTCGACGCTGTCGAAGGCCTTCTCAAAGTCGATGAATTTGAGGTAGAGGGTTGCTTGCCATTCTATACTCTGTTCCATGATGATGCGTTGCAATTTGGTCCGCACATGATTTGTACTTCTTGAAGCCAGGCTGTTCGGTTCGTAGTTTCGAATCCAGCACATCCTTTAGTCTCTCCAGGATGATGTGGCTTGATATTTTGCTTGGTGTGGACAGGAGTGGATCGTGATTCCGCGCCAGTTCTTATTCTTGAAAAGGTTTATGTCTCCCTTCTTCGGGAGTTTGACGAGGTAGCCCTTCTTCCAATCTGCAGGTACCTTCTTTTCCTTCCACACCTTCTGCAATAGTAGTTTGATCATGTCCGCTGTTGTCTCTGCGTCTGTCCGCAGTGCCTTTTGCGGGATTCCATCTTCTCCTGCTGCATTTTTACATTTCAGTGACTTAATGGCGTTCAGGACTTCGACTTTCGTCGGAGGGCTTGTGCTAACTTGTAGCTGTATGACTGGGCTGCTGGTGGTATTACTGGACGAAGTGCAGGTGGTGGTCGATTCAAGGCGTTTCGAAGTGGTCAGCCCATTGTTTCCTTTGTTTCTCCTCTTCGTTAATTAGATTGCCTTCATCATCTCTCATTGGTTTCATCTGAGTTGATCTCTTCCCTCCAGATAGTAACCTGGTTATTTGATATAATGTTGTCAGATCTCTGTCTCTCCTACCTGCAGCCTGTTCTGCTTCACTTGCCAGTGTTTCGTAGAAGTGTCTTTTGTCTTTCCACACACTCTTCTTCACTTCTTTGTCCAGTATTTCATACATTGTACTCAGTTCCTCCTCTCTTTGTGCATCCTTGCAGCACTGGTTTATCTCCTGCTTCACCATCTCTATTCTCCTCTCCCTCCTCTATCAGCTTCCATGTGTCCGTCGACATCCATTCCTTATCTTGCCTCCTCTTCTTCCTCCCTAATACGGTTATGCAGGTTTCTTTACACATAGCTTTCAAACAGTTCCAGTGTTCATCCACACAAGTTTCTTCAGGGATAATGCTCGATATCCCTCATTTTGTCTTGATGGCTGACGTGAAGATGCCCTTTGTAGTTTCTTCCTTCAGTACAGTTTCTGTTCTGGGTGTTGAAGTTGAACTATGGTCTATCACCAACTTCTTAAAAGTCTTTCAACTTGATTTGGAAGGTTCCTTGCACAGCTTTTCCATAGCTCAGTCCTAATTGAGGTAAAATGGAACCCATCAGATAACTGAGACCATGATCATAACCGCGGCTGACTCACACCTTTCAGTTACAAAAACCATGTGTTACATTCGAACTAAAGTTGGAGCCAAACTCCTGCATGATCGACTACACTTTCAGAGTCATATTTATCCTACGTTGACGGTTTCCTACATCGTTAGATTATTCTTATCTGTAGTAAACCAGATAGCAGGTAGGCGGAAATGTATGAAAATATTCGAGGAGAAGTGGTTCGCTTAACTTACTGCATATTACTTACAGTTACTAATGCTGTTTTTGTTTGCTTAAGCTACAACAATTGTTTATCATTGTGAGTGATTGAATCCAATTATTTTAATTTTAACTTGATGACACTTGTTAGTTAATGATACAATATTCTAATGGAATAGAACTCTGTAATCTAAAAATATTCAAGCAGTTTTGAAAAAAGTAACCGTTTTGTATCAGAAAATGTAACTTTCTCTATAAACTTTATAATGCATTCATGGAATAAGGACAATTTCATTGCAACTTTTAGCTTCCTGGTGCTTTTGTTTATTTGGAGGATGGAATCGATTAATTTTAGCAGACAGACATTTAGGCTACTAATATGAATACTGTTGATTTTTTGTTAGTGTTAGTATTATTCGGTGATTGTCTATGATCAAATTCAAGTTGTTTATGCTTATGTCTACATTCTGGGTGCGTTAGTTTTTCTATCAAAAATTCAACTAAGGACCCATGGCTCTATACATTAGATTATTATCTGCTGCACTCTTTAGTCATCACAGTAAGCTCATAGTCAACAGATAGAGCTTATGGTAATTTGCTTGGTTTTACCTAGCAGAGGAATTTAGGACGTGCATTTCGTTTTATTTGGGACTCGTCAACTGGATGTACCTGAATCCTAGTGAATGATGTTGTTCCCACTGAGACTCGAACCTCGTATCCGTCGCTTCAAACGTCAAGGCGTTATCCACTAGCCTCAACCAAGTAAAATACCATGATTACCATTCAAAAAATGTCGAGGCATCCGCATAGGAGCCCATATTGCAACAGACGTCGAACAATTCAACCCAGTAAAACAATGAAGAGTTAAAAGCATATCTATAGATAGAGCATATATTTAGAATCCTCTACATGGCCTGATCAAATGTATTGCTTTCTGTCAATATATTGCTTCCATGCATGAATGCGTTAATGTTTCCTAAATTTTCATTTTGGCCAGCATCATAAGCAGCAACAAATTGTCTTCACTCTTGTTTATTTGAATGCATAAAGCAGGTGTGTAGTTAAAGAAGACATCTAAATATGAAATCACATGCTTGTCTTCTATAAAGTATATTGTTTCGAAATAAGCTCTTATCGAGTCTTGAATTCATAGTAAAAGAGAAACGATGAGGTCAAATTCACTAGTACCTTTTACCTATGAATCTCCCCCAGAACTATAATTTTTAGATAAAAAAATAGACATCTTTTTAACACCAGGGAAGATTAGTATGACTAGTTTCAAGGTGTTTGAATCAACCGCAGTAGTCGTTAGCTAAATCAAGGTTATTTAACTACCAACCAGAAGTTCGAATAAGTTTGAATATTTCAACTCTGTCAGTCTCATTGCTTTAAATCAAAAAGTTTTAGTAAATCCTTGTTAGATTGGTTAAACTGACATCCAGTATTTTGATTCTTTCAGTCCACTAAGTGAACCCTAACAATTCATGAATACAGTTCACAAATACCTCTTTAAAATTCTTAGTAACTATCACAAAGGACGTCAAAGTCAGCCAGGATCGGAAAGACAGCAAGACAGGCCTTCCTTCATTAACCTGAAACCAGTGTGGAGATCTACTGCACTCCACTCAGCATAAAGCCTGAACAACATCCGGATTCTCAACACCAACGACAGTCAAGTCAGTGCTTCTATGTGATGATTGAGAGACTCGGCGTGTTACGAAAGGCGTTCCCAACAAACTACAGACATTCATCAACAACTGCCTACGCTGGCTCGTTACTGCAGATCAGATCAGATCAGATCAGATCAGGTCAGATGAGATGAGATGGCCAGAACAATAAGAATAAGCAACAAGGGACTCTGGCTGGTGACGGACCAACGAAGCAAGAATCTATCGCTGAACAAATATGCAGAGGGGATTGAGAGTGGAGATGGATTGGGTATACAGTGAGAAGGCTGACTGGGGACATCACGTGCCGGGTCAGTCGCTCGAGTGGGACGCAGATGGGAAGCGATGAGTTGTGTGTGCGAGTTGAGGGTGACATGGAGGAGGTCGTGCGAGGGGGAAGTTAGAGCATGTTGGCTGTCGTGTAGCCATGTTGAAGATATTTCAGAGAACAGGGTGGAATGGAGAAGTGCTACTGAGGCCCTATGTTCCACTAGGATCCCAAGGGACTAATAATAAATAATAATAGTAGTCACAAAAGATGTTGTTCTCAATCAGATTTTAATTACGAACTTGCATTGACCATAACGGTGATTAATTAGACTGTGATATGAACTTCGAGAGATCTTGGCTGACTGAAAAGTTCAACCGGAAAGTAAAACAGTGTCACCATTATATTTATCACATTTTCAGTGTATAAGACGTACCTCGCCAGATGGATATGGTTAAGGTTACGTCAGTTTCATTATCTATCTTATTGAAGCTGCAAACCTGCATAGCTAGAAGTGATCCGTCCATTGGTATACTACGTGTGTTTAGTCATCATCTCTCTCTCTTTCACGGGACGCTGCGTTAGGCATATTATTCCTGGATCTTTAAAAGTTTCACTAAATCACCTGTACATAAACTTGATATTCATCTTTATCCTTTCCTATCCAACCATCAATAAAAACCAGACGGCACTGTTATTGTTATTATTACTATTTTGGTTGAATATAGTTCCTGGTAGTGAGGTTAAAGGTAAGTCAAACGTTCAACTATGCTATGATATGTTCTTTAAAATTGTTGAAAAGACTCTTATAAGACCCTAACTTAATTCAGTTAGAATTACAGGAGATAATCCTGTCACAAAGTATAAAATTTTTTACCAAACAGCCAGTGGTTCTTAAAATAAGAGTAGAATGTGAGCTCTATGACCTAGTTTAATTCCATAGTAAATATGTTTATTTAGTATGATGTACAGTAATACGGTATTACTTACTGGAATTTATCGAGTGACGAACCTTTAGTTTTGGCAAACTGTACTGCAATTAGGACAAAGAATGCAAGATGTTAGAGCCATGTAGCTCAAGCAAGAAAACTGTATAATCAACTTGATATGATTATGAGCAGTAATTTGTGTTCGAAAAGTTTTCCAGTAATTACTGTTATATCACCGTGTACTTCATCCAGTAAACACATTCAATATGGCAGTAGTACTATTCACTTGTATCAACCTGAACATCTATGAGTTTCAAGAAAAAGCTATCCTACATTTATCGTTTCTATAGTACTGTCATACCGCTATACACTTTTAACTGCACACGTAGGATTCTATTAGTTTTGCAGTCAAATTATCTAGTTAGCGATGTTAAAATTTATTCGACAGTGAGATTTCCTTTGGCTGGCTTGCTTTCTTGATGACACTTTAGCTAGGGTAACATGCAACACTGATAAAACATTCTGTCTTCTAGATCTTTCAACCTACATCGTTCAGCGTTAAAACTATAGATTTTACCTGTAGGTTACCTGAGTGATGACCAAATACCTGAAGGACTTGGTCCTGCAGGTGATCTGTTGACAGGTGGTATTCTGACTGACTAACGAGATCAGCGTAGAAAGTCGTACAGAAATCCATCGATCCAAGTTGCAAAACTTCATCGTAATGCACAAAGAATAGGAGGATACGAAAAGAGTGATTTCAAAGTAGATAGAAAGTTGTGTGAGAGAATAACCAATCTGCGAATATTCAGGCTATAGAAGGCGTCAAGGAGTAAATACATCTATAGAACTGTGACCGATTTCCAACCGTGTCACCAGAAGTCCTCATTTGAACACCAACGGAATAATTTACGTGTCCCTATGTGACTCAGACCAACAATCAGCAACTTCATCGATGGGTGCCACGTCTTATTCTGACCACTGCGAACCCTCTTCCAACCTTGTCCAAGTTCCTCTATCATGGCACGTTGAGGTAGGCAGTGACTTAGCATGCACAATACGTTCATCAGGATTTTTTCCGATTAGCTTCCACCATCTCGCATCCAAAAATTCACCGTATTGTTGCATCATTTCTCTCAGTGGCCACATTACAAAACTTGATCGACAGACCTCGATTAGTGATAGATGCCAAGGACTCGATTGCTATATTCTTTACCCATTGGAGACTAACTCATTTACATGTAGAGCAATATAAGAGAACCAATGCATAGTATATAATCTTGTTCTTCTGTCCTTTATTGTTGAATTGGAGCTTCATTAATACCGTAATTATATCGTCAGAAGTATTTTGTAATAAGGAATAAGTTAATAAGAATAAGTTTTGGAGATACTTGATGTTTGAGAAATCAGCCCGATAAATTACATCTCAGTAGTTTGAGTACACCATGCTCTTACTGTGAGAAAATGAAGTGGTCATCTAAAGTAATTGGTCAAGAGACCCGTAAACTTAGATGAACTAATGTTTTGTAGTTGATGTTGCATAACAACTCCTAATCACTTACTTACACTTTCAAGTAAACAAATTATGCCTAAGACGTTTATCCGAAACAAGTTGAATCGTGATTGGAAACAAACTGGTGTTCCATGAATTCAGGTTAGTTTTGGATACACATCTTAGTTTGCTGAAAAATTTACTGCTGTTTATTGAGCAGCGATTCATTGATTTAAGTATGGAATTCCATTAAGTAGAATATGACTTCGAATCCTGGACCATTTAACGAGATTTGCTCAGCTAGCCAGCTATCATGAAGTGGATGTAGCTCCTTATCTGTTATACAGTCTACAGGGAATTTCTTGGTTTTACTTATACTTAGGTATCGTTGAGTGATATTATCTGCGACAGATGTTTACATGGTTGAAATCTTACATTCACGGTAGAAAGAATTTATAACCAAAGGTTCATATGAAAACTAAATGCAGGAATTTGCTACAAACTATGTGAATTCGTAGACTATTTAGTGGCTAGCAGTGAAACCTAGGATATGCGTTCCATCCTACTCGGGACTCATCAGCCGGTTGCATTTTCACCCCAGTGAGTGATATTTCTCCCACCGGGAGTAAAACCCAAGTACTCGTCAACTCAAGAGCCAAAGCATTATCCACAAGGCCACTGGGACACGAAAGCCATCTCTTGTACAACGAATGTCAGTCGCTGTTTATTGATACTTGTAATTTTTCTTTCTGCACTTGGTCGAAATGCTAGACAAATGTTGACAGATGGGGTCTTGTCTGAATGGGTCAATGCTGCCTAGATTTTCACTATAATCAGTTCATGTTGTAAGAATTCGTGAAAAATAGTTGCCCCTTATCAGTTGGCTGGAGGCAGTCGGCAGCAAGCCTCGGGCTTATGTTTCGTGCTAGTTGGCACTTAAGAAGGGGTATCAGCAGCCTCAAGGGGACTGATGTACCCTGTGGGGTTAGAACTCGGTCCACCCTTTTATATTCAGCTGGGTTACCACTGATCTACTGAGGCCACTATTGGCCTCCTATGCAACTGGATTACATGCAGTGATTGATCAATGGAGAGGAACCAATCTCATGTTATCTGGACTTTTATGATGACCATTGATGAATGCCACACTGGAAGACGTGAGTTCTTTCGAGGTTGGAGCCATGCGTTGCTGACGAGTGTCAAGTACCACGAAACCTAGTTCCAATGCTTTCTGCTAATTGCCTCAACCGATTACCATATATCAGAGTACATTGCAGTGGTTAGCCTCCCAGCTTGGCGTCCTGATTGTAAAATTACCGATAGAATTCGATCAGGACTAGAAAATGCGAGTGTGGTTGTTCACCAGTGGTCAATCCATGTAAGTTGAAGTTCCTAATAATGAGTTGATCAGTAGGTTAATCACTACAATTATAATAATGAAGTGATTTTCCCTTCAAATTTATTGGTCTGTATTCACTGAATGCTTTGTATAAGTGGTTCGTCTTAAAAGACCCTTCCATCTCTTTGCATGCTTCATCAAACTTCTGAAACTCCTCTTAAAATCTAACGATATTCTTTGTTCAGTTGGTTAGGATTTCTGTTCCATTAGATAACGCCTATGACGATTCATGTACAGTGTAATTTCAGCAATAGCTTTTTCATATTCATGTGGTGTGTGACAATACTGTTTATCTAACTAGGAACTTCCTAATGAAATGAGAAAAACGTTTATGTTCTTTTTGAAATTCATAATATCATAAGTTTTCGTCAGTCTTTGATTATCATTTTGCAAGCAGCTTCCGTATTCATCGTTGTTGTAACTTACGGCTTGATTTCCATCGGCGCAAACGTTCTGCAGATCAAAGCCTCTGGATTTCGTCAATTGTTTACCTAACGTGAGAGTTCTGAAATTTTGGCGTTTCACCAGTTTTACCGTAATGGTAAAATTAGTTTTGTTGAAAACATCGCTGAATTTTTCATAAGTTTCTTCCAAATCTGTACTGCTTACATGGCAAACTGCGAAATAATAGATTTGAGTCACTGTTTGCAAGAACTGGCGCGGAATCACGATCCACTCCTGTCCACACCAAGCAAAATATCAAGCCACATCATCCTGGAGAGACTAAAGGATGTTCTGGATTCGAAACTACGACCCGAACAGCCTGGCTTCAAGAAGTACAAATCATGTGCAGACCAAATTGCAACGCCACACTACGCATCATCATAGAACAGAGTATAGAATGGCAAGCAACCCTCTACCTCAAATTCATCGACTTTGAGAAGGCCTTCGACAGAGTCGACAGAGAAGTAATTTGACAACTACTCCAACACTATACAATACCGCAAACCTTTATCAATCACATTCAACAACTATATCAAGACACCACATGTCAAGTGATTCACAATGGGAGCTCAGTGATGCTTTTGAAGTGAAGACAGGAGTGAAACAAGGCTGTCTACCATCACCCATGATATTCCTGATTGTAGTCGACTGGATGATGCAACAAACAGTGAGGAGCTGTGAGAAGAGGGTGATACAATGGGTAGACCGGGGAAGAGAACGTAGAAGATTTGGATTTCGCAGATGCTGACTTATGTCTGATGTCATACAAAGTTGAAGATGTACAGGCGAAAACTAACAAGTTGACGGAAGAGGCAGAGCAAGGAAGATGTGACTTCAAGTGAAGGTAGAGAAGAGAGGGGTGATGAAGATACCCAACTAACAACAAGCTGCAATCACCGATAACGGAAGAAACTTGAAGTAAGTAGCCTCCTTCACCTACCTAGGCAGCATTGTTTCAACTACAGGCGGTACAGGCACAGACGACGACGTCGCAGCCAGACAGGATCGGAAAGACAGCAAGACAGGCCTTCCTTCATTAACCTGAAACCAGTGTGGAGATCTACTGCACTCCACTCAGCATAAAGCCTGAACAACATCCGGATTCTCAACACCAACGACAGTCAAGTCAGTGCTTCTATGTGATGATTGAGAGACTTGGCGTATTACGAAAGGCATTCCCAACAAACTACACACCCTCATCAACAACTGCCTACGCTGGCTCGTTACTGCAGATCAGATCAGATCAGATCAGATCAGATCAGATCAGATGGCCAGAACAATAAGAATTAGCAACAAGGGACTCTGGCTGGTGACGAACCAACGAAGCAAGACTCTATCGCGGAACAAATATGCAGAGGGGATTGGGAGTGGAGATGGATTGGGCATACAGTGAGAAGGCTGACTGGGGACATCACGTGCCGGGCCAGGCACTCGAGTGGGACGCAGATGGGAAGCGATGAGTTGTGTGTGCGAGGTGAGGGTGATATGGAGGAGATCGTGCGAGGGGGAAGTTAGAGCATGTTGGCTGTCGTGTAGCCATGTTGGAAATATTTCAGAGAACAGGGTGGAATGGAGAAGTGCTACTGAAGCCCTATGTTCCGCTAGGAACCTAAGAGGGAAATAATAATAACAATAATAGTAATAATAGTATTACGACAAATTCAGTAAGGAAAATATATGTGAGTTATGTTGGTGAGGTCACTGATCAAGTGTGTCACTGAGCTGCAGGAAGGTTTGGACGACTATATTGAAAAGTTGCATTACACTCGCAGTTTGTAGGTTTCTGTTTTATAGTGGCGTGGAAACTATTCTGAGGGGCGTGGATTATGCTTTTTAGCAGTCTAAAGTCATCTGAGTTCGCACGTCTTTAAAACATGCATTTTTGTGTCCCAGTGCTCAAATAATCTAATCAATTTCACCCAATAGATCAGCGATTACCAAAAAAAATCTTCAGTTACGATTTCTAAACCCAATATTAGGGCCTATCTATCAACAGGGTGTTCAGACAGCCCATTCATTTCACAACAGCGATTGAAAGTTACTTAGGAATTTTCAAAAGCATTTCTTTAAGAAGCAATCGTCTCTTGCAAGTTTTCATATTTAAAAATGGCTTACTCTGAAGGGTTGAAATCATTAATTCCGGATAACCATGTATAGTCATTGAATCCGTAAGTAACATTATTGACATCTTTCAACACACACTTTCGTCGGTGTTCACTTCTGAAGTTGGTGAGGATAAAGAATAGTGGCCAAAACTAACAGTTAGCCAATAGACTTTAAGAATTATTAACGCTACTTGGGTGTTGACTAATAGTAGACTAGCGCTGAATAATATTTAGCTACTGAGTAAGTAATTCCATTCAAGTCAAATTTTATCTGAAGAATTGACTAACTGGATAAAGTGTGCTGTTTTCCTGTGGTGAAAGTACCACTTTTCGTCTTCATAACGAAATAGTCACACCATAAAAGTACAGCTAGCTAATACTTCAAACTGTGTTGAAATTACCCAAAGTTGACTTCCAAATCTCGGACATTTTCTTGAAAATTTCCAAAGCGCTAATTGATTATACCGATGAGATGTAGTTACAATTCCAAGATATGTCTTTTTACAGGAAAGCTTTATTTCCTATGATCTTGGCGTCTCAACTATAATTATGCTTAGGATTCTCTGAAAACCTTGAAGAATGGAATAAGAAGAATATGTGGGACGCAAAATAGTACTATTAACAGCAAATTGCTCTGATAAATATACAAATTTAGTCCAACCTTTGCGTTGAAATTCCATTGTTGAACTGATGAACTTTCTTACAGCATGCACAACAAGTTGAATGGGTCTAAAAGTGTTTAACCAGTTAATTTCTTATAACTACTCCATTATGGGATTTTAACCAGCCATTTCAAGGTCACTTAATTCACTGTTGGTTATGGCTGCTATTCCTTATCGCCTTCTTGGAATTTCATAGAGTGAAACAAAGGTGTCACATCTAGCTAGTATCTAGTTTTCAATAGTATTTTTTTTCTATTTATTGATATGCTTATAATTCTCCATTGTTTTACTATTTTACATCCCTCTGATGAGTCCCACGTATGACGAAACGAGCCTCCTGGATTCTTCTGCTAGCCAAGACCAAGTGAAGTATTTCTTTTTACCTACATCTATACACGGTTCTGAGATACTTTTATTGTGGAATCAGTTAGAATTACTATCATCATACCAGAGACTTTTTCAACATGATTTTCTGAGTTTTTGGTTATCATTTTTTCGGGTGTTCAATATTTTCTTATTTTTTTAACTAGTTACTTAGTCATGATTTTATTGATTTCACATAGACCAAAGAATGTCTTCTCGTTTCTTGCCTAGGAGCATACACACCTTTATGTCATATGATAGAATGGATGAGAAAAGACATTTTTTAAAGTTTAGTTTGTGATATATGACTTCTATTATCCCTGCATGTTTTTCTCTTTATGTATACAAATTTGTTTTCATAACCTGTTCACCTACAGTTTATCCACTCAAGCTATCAAGTAAGACTATGTGTTTTTATTGTTGAGTATATTTTTGAGAAAGATACTTCAATAAAAGAGTATAACGAACGAGTGGTTCACTAAACAGAAACTATAAGGAAACTCTAGTCGTTAATATCAATTAGATTGAGTTGATTAAGTAACTAATGAGAGTACTTACGAAATCAGCTGACAAGGTGATGAGATTAGTCACTGCTTTTATATTAAAACAGAATGATGATGTGGTCTGCATTTTTATTCTAGCATTACTCATGAACAAAGTTTATATGAACTGTCTTGAAGTCTTGTGCATTCTTTCATATCCATGCTTCAGCTACAAATCAATAACTGATTGCATTCAATCAGAAAGGCAGGAACAGATAAAATTCCACCAAAAGCACTGAAAACAGACTCAGAGACAACAGTGGATATGTTTATATTACTATTGCTGAAGGTTTGGAAGGAAGGAAAGAAAAGTACCTACTAACTGGATGTAGGGCTATCTCGTCAAACTCCCAAAAAAGGGCGACATAAGTCTTTGCCATAACTGTCGCGGAATCATGCTCTTGTTCACACCAGGCAAGATATTAGGCCGTATCATCCTGAAGAGTCTAAAAAATGCAATGGATTCAAAATTACCACCGGAGCAAACTGGTTGGCTGGCTTCAGAAAAACAGATCATATACGTATCATATTGCAACACTACGCTAGTCATCATCATGGAACAGAGTATAGAATGCCAGTCAAGTGGATCTTTACCTCAACTTCATCGACTCTGGAAAGGCCTTCGACAGCATCGACCGAGAAGTATTTTGTCAGCCAGCTGCTTCAACACCAGAGTTTTAGTGCCACAAACTTCCATAAACCTCATCAAACAGCTATATGCTATATTATGATGATGCTACATGGCAAATGGTTGACAACGGAAGCTCAGTGATGCCTTTGAACTGAAGACAGGAGACAGAGGTGAGACAAGACTGCCATCAACTATCTAAGATCATCTCCCAAATTGTGGCTAACTGGACTCGACTGTATCAGGCAACAAACTGTGAGGAGCTGTGACATGTCATACGCTGTTTGACAGATGAAAAGACACTAGAAGATGACCTGAATTTCTCCCATGATGATTTCTTTCTAACGTTTTGTCGCACGAACTCGAAGATCTGCAGGTGGAAACTAACAAGTTGGTAGAAGAGACAGAGCAGCGAAGGAACACAAGACTTCATGCAAGTAAAAGTAGAGAAGAGAGAGGAAATGTAGATACAAAACCAAGATCACCACAACAGAAGAAACCTGAACGAAGCAGTCTCTTCCATCTACTCACCGAAGCAGCATCGTCTCAAATACAGGCGGCGAAATAGGCAAACATGAAGATATGAAAGACAGTCAGGATCGGAAAGACAGAAAGACAGGCATTCATCAAACTGAAATAATCGGTGTGGAGATCTACTACACTGATTATTTCAGTTTGATGAATGCACTGCACTGCACTGAACTCAACATAAAGCGTGAACAACATCCAGATTCTCAACGTTGAGGTCAATCAAGTCAGTCTCCCCTTGTGATGGTTGAGAGACTTGACGCGTTATGGAAAGCACTTCCAAAAAACTACAGACATTCATCAACAGCTGCCGCATGCGCTCACTCGATACTGATACTGACACTGAAGATCAGATCAGATCAGATCAGATAGCCAGAATAATAGAAATAAGCAAGAAGAAACTGTGGCTGGGTGGTTGGCTGACCAACAATGAACCAACCAACCAAGAACTCATCACCCAACAAATGTGCAGAAGAGAGTGGAGATGGATTGTATTGTATTGTACTGGATTGTATTGGGCATAGACTGAGAAGACGGTTTAGGGACATCACGCTTCAGGCCAGGTCGTTGAGTGGAAGCCAAATGGGAAACGACGAGTTGGGCGTCCGAGTCAAGGATGACATGGAGGAGGTGGTGACAGGAAGAAATGACTTGTACGAAACTAGGTGAAATGTCTCCTGAATAATCCATCTATCGTAGTTAGTTTTATTTCTATCGCATAAATAGCAGTAGTAGTAGTGGTATATCTATCAGTACTGAAGACGGTTTTGTGTCTTATTGTCCACACAACCAGTTTAAAATATTTATACCTAAGTTACAGTAGCCGTATATAATTCAGTCCCACACAGGTCATTCACGGTCTAGATGACTAATCGGTAGCCCACATGGTTTTAGAAACTAGGTGGGGGAACTATGAATCTCTGAAGAGATATCAATTCTGTAGAGATTCGCAAAGCGCCATGATGTTAAGTTTCGGCAAACATGGAAAATAAGTTCAAATATTCCTACCCACTTTCTTTAAATATATAATGTGAGATTAAGTTTGTATGTTTATTGTAACTGATATCTGCTTCCGTTTATAAATTTGCAGATCTCTCAACCTTGAAATTGATATACTACTGTCAAGACTATGCCAATAAGTTTCCATATAGTAGTTTCTACAAAGGCTTAGATTAACTCTTTTCATATTGAAGAACCCATTTTCCTACATTTTCACCATTAGACAATTCTAGTTACCGATGTCCGATAAATATATCACTGACAGCGAACCATTTACTTTCAATGGTTCGCGCAGAAAACATTAGACATCTATGTAGGACTTTGTTGCAATGTCTACGGCATCAGATTTGTCTTACCCATCCTAGCGAGAATTGATTTTCTCGCACAGTCATGTGATTCTTCATGAAATACAGTGCGATCTAACCTTTACAAGATGGAAACTATGCATCCGAATTTACAGAATAGTTATCTAATTCTCAACAAGGTTTTATTTTGATAAAAACGTTACCATGAGTACGTAGTGAAATCTTAAAGAGACCAGAATAGTGCGGAATATATTATTTAAGGTTTAGCTACAATTAGAGAAACAATTTATGCATGAAAAGCGTCTCGTTGAAAATTCCAGCCAGAGAGCAATCAGTAGTGATGAGTCAGTCAGGAGTTTGTTGTCCTGATACTGAAAATTATCACCACTAGTATAGTGTGCTAGTCGTTGCTGAGATATATAGAATATTATCTGCTGTTTCTTTTTGAATAAAAATGCCGTGAAAAAGAGATGAAGAATTAACTTTGTATTTTCAGTATTATTGAAACAGTCCTTGTCTGATTCAGTAAAAGCAATGCCTCATGATGGTTAGACACAAAATATAATAAAATTTACAGTTCAAATCATTTACGAAATCCCTGTAGATAGAACTCGATCATTTATAGAAAAAAAAACATCATGTTAAACTAAGATGCTGCACATTTCGTGCTGGAGGCTTATCAACAGTTGACTGTAGATTACCGATATTCATTCGAATGGTGTATATACGAATTCACGTGTACTGCAGCTTTCATTTGTATCTGATGCAAGAATTCTTTGTGGGCAAATGGTTTTTGGTTTCCGGAAAATTCATTGACAAAATATCTACGAATTTCAGATGGAACAAGAATTCTTTAGAGTTTGCGAATCCCACTAAGCATGAAATTCGGATTCAGACCTTCATATTAGACTTCATGAACATAATCTAGTTTGCCTGAGAGTAGAAACTGGTTTGTCTGTCCTTCGATATCTTTAAGTCTAGTTATGATACGTTATGTCCAATGAAAACTGTGCTTTAACTGATGATTACTGATGAAACCTGTAGTTCATAAGCATCGACTGAATAGTCATATGAAATGTCATGTTATAGTGCTGCACAAATCCGCGATCGTTTTATATGGTGCATTTATATATTGACTGTTATCTGTGCATTTTAGTTGTGTGAAAGATACATAAGTATGTAGATCATGCGTTTGCCCTCCACCGGATGCTTTAACACCACCACACGTATTGAAGCACGAAAACCGCTATGTTTCTTGACATTATGACTGCCTTCGATTCGTTGGACAAAGATGTACTCCGGAACTATCCGTTAGACAGGAGCGTGCCTGACAAGGACCAGTTCCAGATTTTGTAACACTTCCTAATAATTTTGCTAATATTATTGTTTTACTTAGATTTTTAGTGTAACACAGAGATTCAGTATCACGTCGCCATTTCACTTTCTTCTCTCCAATATTCTTTTTCAACCTGGTTACACCAGTACCCACAAGCTTTCATTTCTTCCTGTCACCACCTCCTCCATGTCATCCTTGACTCGGACGCCCAACTCGTCGTTTCCCATTTGGCTTCCACTCAACGACCTGGCCTGAAGCGTGATGTCCCTAAACCGTCTTCTCAGTCTATGCCCAATACAATCCAGTACAATACAATACAATCCATCTCCACTCTCTTCTGCACATTTGTTGGGTGATGAGTTCTTGGTTGGTTGGTTCATTGTTGGTCAGCCAACCACCCAGCCACAGTTTCTTCTTGCTTATTTCTATTATTCTGGCTATCTGATCTGATCTGATCTGATCTTCAGTGTCAGTATCAGTATCGAGTGAGCGCATGCGGCAGCTGTTGATGAATGTCTGTAGTTTTTTGGAAGTGCTTTCCATAACGCGTCAAGTCTCTCAACCATCACAAGGGGAGACTGACTTGATTGACCTCAACGTTGAGAATCTGGATGTTGTTCACGCTTTATGTTGAGTTCAGTGCAGTGCAGTGCATTCATCAAACTGAAATAATCAGTGTAGTAGATCTCCACACCGATTATTTCAGTTTGATGAATGCCTGTCTTTCTGTCTTTCCGATCCTGACTGTCTTTCATATCTTCATGTTTGCCTATTTCGCCGCCTGTATTTGAGACGATGCTGCTTAGGTGAGTAGATGGAAGAGACTATTTCCTTCAGGTTTCTCCCGTTGAGTAATGGAATGTAATTGTGTAATAATTCTTTAAATAGTTATTTGACAGCATTAGATATTATCATCTGCTTGAAAGTGTTTTGGAAACAACTTATTTTTGATGTCTTCCAGCCGACGATTGCAAATGTTGACTTTACTTCTTGTCTCCCTTTGATTATTTTACTGACATTTTTAGTTTAAGAAGAAATAAAGATGAGATTAAATGAGATGAATTCATCCATGCATCATAAATCGCAGTAATTTAGTAAGATTCGAATAGAGAGAACAAATATTCGAGCAGAATGATATCGTGCCATCTTATTTCGCTGGTTTCTCATCACTGCTTCAAAACCTAAAGAATTTACATATAATATTACGAAAGAATTAGGACAAAACTCTCTCAGTTACATGAAGCTAGTTAATAGGGAACGAAGTTCAATTTACATATGTATGTGTTTTGCCAGAGAGTTCGAGAAAGGAACATGTATATTAATAAACTATTACTCAAAAATATTAACAAGCCAGTTGGTTGACAACAAAGAACAGACAGATTATATGGTGATATAATGAGTTGAACTCATCAACATTTTGTACAAACAGAATGCAAGTTGAGTCAAAAGATGATGTCATGAAATATGAGAAAGAGTAAAATATTAGGTTATCAAGGCAAAGAAAGACTTATCACTGTTTCTTTTTAAACACCTAATTTTGGTTTCAGATGTTTGATCTCTCCGTCCTCAAAGAACTTGAGAAAGCTTGAAATACAATGTTTGTCGACTACTTTGAATGATTCTTAGGTATCTACCCCATGTCCTATGGGGATAAGACACCGAGTGACTACACTACTGAAAGCACCAGTTTCCATGATATGGAGGTTTTTTGGCATGTTTTCAAAGAATCTAGGTTAGGCGCTCCTATCTGTCCATCTAATGTAACTTATAACACTGATACACACTGTTAGATGTCACATGGTAAGGGAACCTGTCGATTTCTAGGCATATTTTTCTGTAGAAGGGATCAAATTGGCTGCAGAATATATTCTGTTCATTACAGCTTTCAGCCTTCTGTTAATTCTTCCAAAGATATCGTCACCTTTAAAGTTGATTTCAGGCAAAACAAACTTCTTGTTTACTGTAATTTGCTTTAATTTATTTTTTAAGGATCTTTCGTATTTATTGATGAATTTCTGTTGGTAATCATTGTCTTAGAGGGTTTTTCACTAACTGAACAATTCTTCTAATTTATCACTTGAAGTTATTCTTATGGCTCTATAAGCTGGTATCTTGACCACTTCCTGCTTAATATCGTTTAGCGAAAGGCTATCGAAATTTAAACATAGTCCATTCCATGTGCTCTTCCCATGACCAGACTTTTGAAGATTAACATCATTTCTGAGTCACAAGACAGTATCTAAAAAGCGAGATTTTCATTTTCCATGGTGAAGTCGATATTTTCATGAGTACTATTGAATAGTGCGAGTTAGTGGGATGGATGATGTAGATTAATGATCATATTACCTGGATTGCAGATTGGTGAAATTATGGATGAAAGTTCACCATCCATGTACCTGAACATTATTATTATAATTATTAAAATATTTTACTAAATTTTTTATCCCCTTCTCCTAGTACATCCTAGAGGAAATGGTAGGTTAATAACCGTTTTTGATTCAGTGAAATATTTTTATAGAATACCTGTATAACTGGTACAAGCTGTTTACAGCAAAGTGTAGTGATGTAATCAGCCTTATTATTCCAGTACATATCAACCTTTACGTAACTATTAGCCAGATCATCACTGGTACCTATCGAAGCCATCAGTAGGCATAGTAGACTACAAGGTCATCTTCGGTCCGTGAAAAAGTTTCACTACCGCTGCAACACCTAAATTCACCACTGATGATGAAGAAAGTAGTTATAACCAAATTACCAAACCATAGCGTCACACTGGTATTGAGGGAAAATATTCTCATTCCAAACTATAATCTGATCCACTGTGTTTGTGATGTTGTGGATATGGAAATAAGTACATAAAGTTAGATACTACTGACATGCAAAAGAAGTTAAAAGTTAGTCATCTGAGTTCACTAATGAAAACATTTTCGTAACTGAAAATAACCACCGTAAGATCCCATGATTATGACTCATTTGGCGATGGGCATACACTGAGAAGGCCGATTGGGGATATCACGCGCCAGGCCCTCGAGTGGAATCCAAAGGGAAACGACGAGTTGGGTGTCCGAGGGTGACATGGAAGAGATGGTGTGAGGAAGAAATCAAAGCTTGTGGGCAGTCGTGGCGCCAGGTTGAAAAGACTGCAGAGAAGAGAGCGGAATGGAGGCGTGCTACTGTAGCCCTATGCTCCACTAGGAACCCACGGAAAAATAATAATAATAATAGTGATTTTACACTACCTTTGAACTGCAAATATGCTGAAAAGTTGGTTTAAATTCGTATGTCACTCGGTTATTACCTCATATATCTTGTAAGAATTTGCGTGAATTGAACACTGTCATTTGGTCCTCCTGCTTTCCCGGATTTCAGCAACTTTATGGCCTTCAGGACATCAGTGTTTGTTGGAGGGTTTGTGTTCACTGATATTTCTGTGGCTGGGCTGCTGGTTATAGTTCTGGATGCGTTTTAGTTGGTGGGGTTGGTCGATTCAAAGGCTTTGTGAAGCGGTCAGCTCGTTCTTTCCTTTGTTTCTCCTCTCTGGTAACTAAGTTTCCTTCACTATCTTTCATTGGTTTCGTTTGAGTTGATCTCTTCTCGGGTTATCTGATTTAATGTTGTCAGGTCTCTGTCTCTCCTACCTGTAGCCCGTTCCGCTTCACTTGGCAATGTGTCATGAAAGTGCTTTTGTCTTTGCACGCAATCTTCTTCACTTCTTTGTCCAGTGTAGTGTTCTACAGGCTGTGTTCAGTTCCTCTTTTCGTTGTTCATCCCTGCACTGCACTGCACTGCACTTGTTCATCTTCTGCTTCACCATCCTCCTATCCTCTATCAGCTTCCATGTGTCCGTCGAGATCCATTCCTTCTCTTACTTCTTCTTCCTTCCTAACATGGTTATTTAGGTTTCCTTCTTCGTCTCATTCTAAGAATTCCAGTGTTTTTCCACGCAGGTTTCTTCGGTGATGTTGCTCAATATCTCCCATTTTGTCTTGATGACTGAGTGACGTGAAGATGTTGTTGGTAGTTTCGTCCTTCACTTTGTGTTCTGGGTGTTCAACTTGAACTGTGATCTGTCACCAACTTCTTTCAAGGCTTTCAACTTGATTTTGAAGGTAGGTGGTTTGCACTAGATAGTGAGTGGTGTGAACCTACAATGGTCCCCTTCTTGATCTTGTGTCCAGTAGGCTGCATCTCCACTTTCTTGAGGTTGAGATGAAGTACATTTGATTTTTAGTGTATCTGGCGTCTGATGAAATCAGATCCATGTCGCTTTGTGAATATCCTTGTGTTTGTACACACTGCCTGGCTCCAATCACCAAATCGTTGAATGTGCAGAAGTCTGCAAATAGTTCTCTATTCTCATTCATTTCACCGAGTGTTTCTCGACTCATGATGATGAGTTCTCTTCCTGTGTCTGCTCCCAGTTTGATATTCATGTCACTCCACCCATTAGAATGCATTTTGATGCCACCAACTGAAGTCTTGTCCAGTACTGATTGCAGTTGTGTGTGGAATTCCTCCTTCTTCTCTTCATCTGCATTAAATGTAGGTGCGTAGCGTAGCATTGAATAATTGTGACTTTCCATCTTTTTGAGTTGGATGTAGCTCTCATGATCCTGATCGTTGAGGAGACTGGTTTCCACTGGATGAGAGCCTACGATGCTGTTGAGAATATCGTGATAGCCACTTCCTCCGTCTGCTCATGGTTGTCGTCTGGGTGACAATGTCGGAGAAGATTGTTGACTCTCCAGTTAACAGTTTAGAGAGTCCGCTTCCATTCCATTTGCAGATTCCTCACACATTCCTAACACTTCTATGCTATACTTTCTCACCTCTTTTGCAATCTGGACAGCATTGCTAGTTTCTAACATTCTTCGGACATTCCATGTCTCTGAGTTTACTTTCGCTTTCACCAAGAAGAGATATATCGGCCAACTGACATACTGAAGGCTTTCACTAACCGGCATCATTTCGCCTCTCCGATTCCAGCGAGAAATAAGTTTGTTTTTAATTTTTATATTTTGTTTGTGCTTTGAAGTTTCTTTAGAGGTTTGATTGGTTTTACGGGGTAGGGTTGCTAGCCATATGCCCAACCTTCCCTCTTTATCGGGGCTCAGGATCGGCTAGTAACCAGTGAATTAGTTAACCAGGCGAGGCCGCTGCTCTCGGGATCTAATTTTTCGTGCTTGCTAACACCTCCTAGTGTGTTTAAGTGAAGGTTTGGTGAAGACCACTACCAGCTCCATGTTAGAAATCTTGGTTGCAATGAACCATTAAGTGGATATGAATGAGTTGTTTTTCATTACGTACCGCATTTCCATCAAATTGCCCACAGGTACTCGGTTCATAGTCCTTCAAACTACTGAAACAGTAGCACTCTGGGTCACATATCTCGAGTTATGTGTTCAGAAGAAGCAAGTTTATCCTCTACAACTACTGTGATCCGATTTGGGATGTAGCAATTGGTTAGCATCCTGCTCCAGATAAGCTAAATCCATACTGTAGATGCTCCTTTATCCCTATTATTTGCAATAATTCTGACAAATTCTTTTGTCCTTCTTAGCTTATTACATCCAGTTGTCATAAACACCTTCCTGCTGTTTTATTAAACTATTACCTTATTATACTACATAAGCCGTATAAACACTTATTTTGAATTGAATCCTGGTGACACTTGGTTCCATCATAAACGTTCACACAAGACTTTTCTAAATTGACTTCCCTAACTGTATAATATTATTAACAAACTGAAAAGCGGAATCTCTATATTGTTGAAGTGTAATTCCCCAATATATACACATAACTTTAGAACCTGGAGAAGTTATCAAATGGGATATTCTTTGTTCACTCAAACGACTTTTGAATATCAGCTTGGTTGAGGAGATAAAAAAATTGTTAGGATTCAAATCTAGAAAGGCTGTGAAATAGCCAATGCCACTGTAAATATATACAAACCCTCATATTTTGTATATTTATGTTGACATTGTAATACACCTTCTATTGGCTTACAAACTTTTACATTCATCAAGAAAATGGATCAACTATCAAGCGGTGGAATCTGAAGATTATTGTCCAAGCATTCGAACATATATATGCACATATATGTATATGTGAATATATAACTCAGGTTATATCAAGTGACTACAAGGATATAACAAAGTAATAGGAGTAAAATGGGTTGAATTAATCACTTTTGTTTGCATGGTGATGTATTTAATTTGGCTAGAACAGATGTACATCGTTATTTTGGTTGGCTACTAGAAAGCGAGCAATTTTATGTTGTCTAGTCATGAGTACCAACCGAATCATATGCATCATTTTCGCACTGTGACCACAAAGCCAGGAAGCTGGCTATTGTACTTCACTTTGATGAGTTTCAATTGTTTCGAAGCAATGGTCAAGAAGCCCTGCTTTGCCTATATTTCATGTTTACTGGTAGTCATCGGCAAGGCATATCAATTATGACCCGAATAACGCATTGGTTGTGTTATTAACTGCAACACTGTGTGATGTAGGTTGAAATCTCAGAAGGGAAACCAGTTCTTTCTGGGTCGCAGCTACGCCTTACCAAAGAGTGCCAACAAGCAGGATACCTATATAAGGAAGTGCTAACTGTCGACTGCCTTCAACCAACTAACACACATTAGGTATGTATGCATGTTTTCTCCTCCAAAAGCACATGCAATTAAGGTTTCTGTGAATTTCAGTTGTAATTCAATGGACATATTTTTAACTTCAATCTGTTTCAGGTCTGCGCAACAACTGCTCACTATGGAACATAATTTGTATCACAACCATTGTAATTTTCCTTTTTTCTTCTTGTTTTACATAAATCAAGCAATTTGTTTTTGAATATGACAGCTTAATTTTATGAATGATAAATTTGATCAGTATCTATACACTACTGTGTTGTCACTGTATTGGCAAAACTGACAGCTCTTTCCGATGATTCTACCTGGAAGTAAGAATCTTGACAATACTGGTGAACATTGGCTAGTAGTAGAAGCCAGTACATGCATTTCGTCTTGTCTGGAACTCATCAGCCAGATGTACCCACCTTTCAGTGGGTGATATTGTCCCAACAAATACTCAAACCCGGGACCGATCGCTTGAAACGTCACAACATTATCAACCAGGCCACTGTTTTGCTGCAACAGCTTGTGAATTTGCACCGTTAATTGGACCGAATTGATCAGCTACCACTAACATAAGGGTACCTGTATGGATGCCTCAGTATTACAAGTGTATTCAAATTTGACGTTAATGCGTTTTCGCCACAAGCCACTATCCACCACTTATATCAAAACTGAAAATACCTGTACTACTGAGGCATCTACACCGTAGCCCATATGCTAATGGTAGCCGGTCACTCAGTTCAATGAACGACGGATATTCATGAGTTTTACCTTCATTTACTTGTCACCACCATACTTGGAGTGTCAGACAGTCACTAGGAACGTTTTCTTTGCTCAATAAATGTCATTTATGCACCCCTTTTGTGCATAAGCTCACTTTGTCTCCCTCTTCGTACCAATTAATTGAAGCCTTGTGGTTATCGTTGTGACTGACAAAAAAGCTCATTTACAAACTGCACAGTTAACATTGGCATTATTCTTGACAGCTGAGGAGTTCAGCAACTTCCTAACTATGGTTTTGGTTGTGTTTCTGTTCGAAACCCTTTGGCTATCACCATAGGTTTCGGCATTTGAAAATGATAGACAATAAAAATGACTAGACACCTAAGGTTCATCTTTATACTTTGTCTCAAGCAGAATGGCCAAAACTACAGTTATGTATTGTAGTTATTATGATCAAAATTTTTGTCAGAAATTAATGAGTATCGAGAACCATTGAGGATTACACAATTCACATGTCATATAAACATTTCGTGACAGTTCCATTGAATTGTTTTTAACTAACTGTAAAACGTAATCCAGGAAACGCGTTCCAGTATTCTGAAAAATTCTGAAGGACAGAATTCTTTAACTTTTAAACTGTTTAACATGATTAAGGAATCTCACTGGCCTTGAATTATACTTGAAGTGACTTAAGGCTGCGTATTCAGCCACAACAGGCCTTGGACTCCTACTACTAAAGAAGATCTAAACGTTTCTTTTGTCTACATGAACATTCTCAGCATGGACCGCGGCAGGTGCTGGGGCTGGCTTATCCCGCTTAAGCAAATTGTATATCACACTTACCCCTTCACTAATACCAACCTCTGTCTCTGCCGTTAAGGGGGTAGCAACTAAACATTTTAGCCATTAATACCTACATGGTTAGCCGATAGCTGACATGGTTCAGGAGCCAATGGGTGGCTTCTTCAAAATACGGCTGATACAAGCTTTATCGCTTTGAGCGTTCGGTAATGACCGCTGGCGCAGTCACAATGAGGGCAATATCATTGACCTGACACCCACACCACATATGCAGGCAGACTTACCGGCCAAATTGATCGTACCAGAATTTCACTAGGAGGAAAGAAAAGGCATACAGCCTGCAGCCAGTAACTCAGGCTTGTAGCTGTTTTAAAAAAGTCATGGTTATGTCCACCAAATTTGCCTAACCACGCTTCGTTTGGTTTTGCAACTATTTAATCCGAATATACTTAACTTGGCAAATATTTACTCGAGTTAAATGAAAAATCGATTCTTAACCAACCCACAGACACAATGAGGTTGTATATTATGACAGGACAGAGTATTTATTATTATCAGTGGTCAGTAATTGCGTAGAATTACGTTGCAAATACATTTCGTCAGAAAGTTTATCTAGCCTAGAATACTTTGACCTGTAAAAAAGCATCATAGGTTTGTGCATGTTTATGAAATCTGTGGTTCGTTTAAGTCTAACCAAATGAAATATAGAATCTCTGATCTATGTATAACCTTTTGTATTCAATAAATCAGTAACAGTTTAAGAGATTGTTTCTCACGGTGGAGTAAAATCATCTAGAAAACTACTGAAAACTAAACACCTGTATTATTTTATTGAGAAAAATCCACAGCAAATCAACTTTGGAAACTTCAGGTGTAATAGAAGTCGTGTAACCATTCATTCAACGAGCTGACAGCTAATTTCAACTTAGCACAACCTTAAACAATTCATCTGGTGATTATTTTTCTAATGGGTTAACAGTTTTTCAACTGATATCAACAGTATTCTAGGCTTCGGTCATAGTGAAAAACAAATATTAAGACCTTAGAACAAAATTTCAAATGTAGACATCAGTATTTGTATGCCGCAGCATGAGAGCTATGATGAGTGGCATTTGAATTCACTACTTCAGAAATTGTTCAATGACAGCTGTCTGTCATCTGTCTCACCAGTTTATAAAAGAAAATGTGATGACTTGCGCAAAACAGTCAAATAACTTCTTGATTATTATTTTCAAAAACAAATTGACATAGGATAGATTCAGCAGTTAAATAAGCAATTACCTTGATGACTTTCTTGTTCTCTATGACTAGGTTTCCATTCGCAAATCTCTTTACATCAGTTTGTCAGTAATGTTTAATCCAAATACCTAGCTAGAATGTGGATTAGTTGTGGTGGTAATTAGTAGCCGTTCAGATGATGGAAAGTGTAATCATTGACTGAAATCTTTTTCCTGATTTATCTACCGATATCAGTTTAACGTCTCTGAATTTTTCCGTAATATATGTGCTGATTCATTCCTTCTTAGTTCGCTAAATACACATTACTGTCACTGCCTTGATTGTTGTTATCCTCTGTGGGGTAGCATACCATTCCATAGGTTTCCACAAGAAAGGCTTCTTCACGGAATTTGAATTCAACCTAGTGTAAATAACAACAGTGTAGTCAGCGACATAAATAAGCAGCTGACAAACTGACAGACAACAAGATCGAAACAAATTTAACTTTTTGATTTCATGTTGTTATTATTGCGAACTGAAATAATCTAAAGAACCACAGGCCATCCAGAAGCAAAGTACAGTTGCTCTGCCCCACACTTGTAGACCTAAACTTCAAACTTCCATCAGTTCACAATATAGAGTGACCTACATCCAACTCCGTCGCTGAGTACCTGTACTCATGTCCGACTTGAGTTGAATCAGCTGTCATGACTTCTTACGAGAGCATTATTAATTTCATCTCAAAGGAAGCGACTAACGAACACTGAAGAGTATTTTAGTTGAAACGTTTGTCAAGAATTATATGGTGATAGATTCACTTCAATTAGTTCCTTATGAATATCAACCTGAAAAGAAGAAATGAATCCAAACAAACCTACTAATTGAATTCTAATCCCTGTCTTATATTATTCAACAACGAATAATATCAATCAACCACCAATCTTGTCACATAGTCTATTTGTTATTACCTCTATAAATATTCAAGAAGAATACTTTAAGTTCACTTCCTGTTGAAGAAGTTACACAGAAGAGTATAACTAAACTAAAGTCGAAGGCTCTGTGTATGTAAAATTAGTCTTGATGAACAACAGACGTATGAAAACATACACCAACTGGGCCATAAAAGTAAGTGATATACATTATTATTATCATTATATATGAAACTGTTGATTTGTGTTTAGTGATTCATAAAATGAGCAAAATAACTCATTGTGAAGATCACTTGACTACTTGCCTATCAATAATCTTTATAAAACATTCTCTGCAATACAACTACGTCTTCTCATTGCAAAATATACAAGTATGTGTAGTTTAAAAAATTACTTCACAAATATGTTCGTACAACACTGAAGTTGTTAATGCTATATGTTCCAGTCTTAGTGATTTATTAGATATATCAGACAGTGGAACAGTATTGTTTACTGAACTACGCTTCAAATATCATTACATCAAGATAACTACACAACTTTGAGTCATCCATTATATAGTCCTCATTTCCTCGTGAAAATGGTAGTGAAATTTTCCATTTATCCGGTTCACGTGCAGAATCATCTCAATTGCAAGTATTAGGTGTTGGTTCGACAAACAAACATACAGCTTTCAACCTCTATCTCCACCCTATTATGTTAGTTTTTAGGATTTTCATCCTGTCCTATCCTATTGCGTGGTTGTGTATAAGTGCATGGACAGCATGAGTAGCTATGGCCAACCTTTCTTCTTGACTCTCTATCTTACTAGGATCAACTAATTTTGATTGAGCTACATATTGTTTTGTGCTTGGATAGTCCAACTGACCGTGGTTAACTGCTCTGATCTATGCATTTGAACGGACAATCGTTGCAATGGATTTGGTAAACTAGGTTATTCAGCCTAATTGGATTGATAAGATCTTTTAATCTACAAAGTTTATTTCTGAGTGAGTTTGTAGGTTTAAGTGCCACTGTAATACCAGAGGTAGCGTAATTGAGAATCCTACGAAGTGTTTCTGATGTGCCTTCTTTGTATGATAATACTGTGGAGGTTTCGACTGCTCTCTTCACAGCATTACTACAACTATTATTAACATTATTATTACTGCTATTAACACCTGTATTACTAGTGTCATTTGCATTCTTACAATTTCTTAGGAAAGAGTGAAAATCCTAAAAACTAACATAATAGGGTGGAGATAGAGGTTGAAAGCTGTATGTTTGTTTGTCGAACCAACACCTAATACTTGCAATTGAGATGATTCTGCACGTGAACCGGATAAATGGAAAATTTCACTACCATTTTCACGAGGAAATGAGGACTATATAATGGATGACTCAAAGTTGTGTAGTTATCTTGATGTAATGATATTTGAAGCGTAGTTCAGTAAACAATACTGTTCCACTGTCTGATATATCTAATAAATCACTAAGACTGGAACATATAGCATTAACAACTTCAGTGTTGTACGAACATATTTGTGAAG